TAGATCATGGTGGAAGGTACAAAAGAAACTGTCTCAGGTGAATCAATAAAATCTGTTGAATCTTTTACATACCTAAGAAGCGAAATAAATTCTACTGAAAAGGATATGAAAATTCGCATAGTTAAACCTGGGCCGTCTTGAATAAAATGGATGTAATCTGAAAATCTGATCTATCTGACAACTTCAAATGGAGATTATTTCAGGCCACTGTAGAGGCGATGTTAATGTATGGTCACACTGATGGACCATAACTAAACTTGATGAAACCTACACTTGGATGCTGAGAGCTATACTTAACATTTCTTGGAGACAAAATCCAACTAAATCACAGCTCTATGGACACATCTCTGATATTTCTTTGTATCTCTAAAAAGAATACCCGCTCGGCCCGGTGGCTAGGATCAAAGTGTCGAACTCTCTGCTTGCAGAGAGGAACCCGGACGAAGCTCCGCCGAAGGGTAGGGTTTTGTTGGGGGAGGTTGACGGAACTGGCCCGCCTCGGCGTGTTTGGATGGTTATTTATTTTTGGCTGGGCCTATGGGCTCAGTATTACCCAAATTAAAAAGGCCTTGTGCCACATTCGATCCCCGTGAGTGGATTGATAAATACCATCTCTGATATCACAGAATGCAGTTAACAGGACACTGCTGGCGATCAAAACAAGAATTCGCGAGTGATCGACTACTCTGGACACCTAGCCATGGAACAAGACGGGCTGGTCGACCAGAAACAACTGATATTGACCAGTTATTTTATGAAGCAAAATAACACCCTTAATGACCAAATGTATGTAATCTGAAAAACTTATCTATTCTTTCGAACCACTGTAGAGGTGGTGCTTATGTATGGTGCCACTTGGATGCTGAGAGCTATATTTAACATCTCTTGGAGACAACATCCAACTAAATCACAGCTCTATGGATACATCCCTATTATTTCTACAATCTTACGCGAACGTAGTATGTTCTTTGCAGGAAAATACAGGCAAAAAAAATAAGAACCCGCGCGTAATTTACCACTATGGGTACCTGGCCATGGTGCAAGACGGCAACTATGTTATGACAGAGAATGCCACCCTAACAACCTTCTGATCTTGATGCAGAACCGTGATGGTTGGCGTGATAGACTCATGAATGTTCGAGATAGCGACTGAATAGAATATATATATATATATATATATATATATATATATATATATATATATGTGTGTGTGTGTGTGTGTGTGTGTGTGTGTGTGCGTATTTGTGTGCATGTGTTCGTGTTCGTCTCCATAATGCAAAGTGTGCTTCAAGGTTAAATATCGAATAATATCTATTCGATTTTGATGCACTAAAAAGAGCCCAGTCGTTGACTATTGCAAGGAGGAAGGCGTCAATATCAATTACAGAAATTTTCAAAGGGCGATGTTATTAAATAAGACATCGCGCGTGATGTACTGCTCTGGACACCTAGCCAGGAATCAAGTTGGGCTGGTCGCCCAGCAACGTTGGTCAGATATGACATGACACAGAAAACCTCCCTAAGGATCTTAGAACGTTAAGGCAGGACCATGATGTATGGATGGTGTGATAGTCATAAATCTCCTCGATCGCTCGACCCGATAATCATACAAGGAACCAACCGATCAACAGATGACACGGATACACGGGATCCATTTGGGGTGAGCTTAAGACCAAAAAGGCATTCGAGGCAAGGAGCCTCTCAGGGTATAATCGCTAATCAGGATCAGAGCATATTTGGGGATCGATGGTGATGAAACGGTTCTAACTTTCTATTGGAGGTATCGAACGATGCAAACCAGTCTTTTCCCCCCATTGAGCTGTAAAAGCTAGGTTAGAGTAGAGATCAGCTTCAAGGCATTGGTCATGCAGATATTTGAAGGTTCAGCTATGCATCGTGGTATCATTTGCATATATATTTACTGCGGACCCGAGGTGAGAGCCCTGGGGGATGCCAGCATTGACCTCATGTACTTCAGAGGACTGGCTATTAATTACGTTTGCTATTAATGCATCCGCAGTTTTCTGGGAATCCGATCGTTGCCAATATCGTTGGATTGTATACGGGCAACACATAGACAGAGAACAAAAGAAATTTCGTGATAGGTAAAGAAAAAAAAGGAAGTTCCAGGTAATTAAAGAAGAGATTTTTATGTACATGGAAAGAGAAGAATATAAAAGCAAATGTTGTACAGTGTTCTAAAAGTGGCATTACCATTGATAACCTTGTAAATTTGATATTTATTTACCAAATGAGAGCATGTTTGTGTATATGTTTGTATTAGGTTAGTGCAAAAATAATGACGTAATAATGTCGTTGTTTGACGTTAAAAAATACGTCAAAAACGACATTATTACGTCATTATTTTTGCACCAACCTAATATCTATTATTAAGAAATTTTATATGTCGAATTGTAGATTTTCTTTGGTTGCTATTTCACAAGTGTATGTCTTCTCTGCCAATTGTCGCGTGACTTTTGGAACACCCTCTAGATAGATAGATAGATAGATAGATAGATAGATAATAATAAAATATGAGCAGATAGATAGATAGATAAATAGATAGATAGATAGATAGATAGATAGATATCGACGTACACTGAGATAGATATCTAGACAGATATCGACAGACAGCTAGATAGATATGAATAGATTGATCAATCGATTCATACATAGATGTGAAGCGATAGATAGATAGATAGATAGATAGATAGAAAATCAGACAACTGGTTAGATAAATAACGTGAATATATATTTTCTTTCTCTCTTTCTTCTTCATTCTTTCTTCTTCAACTACTCTGTCTTTTTTCCTTTGTCTTTATCATTCTTCTTTTCACCATCTATTTTCTTCATTTTCTTAACCCCTCTCTCTCTCTCCTCTCATAATTTTTCTTTCCCTCTCACTTCTATCTCATCTTCCTTTATATATATATATATATATATATATATATATATATATATATATTTTGTATAATTAGGCAGCATCCTTCCTTTATGCATGTTTCATTAAAAACGACAGACAAGGTACTACAGTTGAGCTTTTTATTTAATTTTTTTGTGTTCTGACAAGAGCTTTCTTTTCTGGACAAAGAGTGTGTAAGAACTGTCCGAATGTTTTGTATTTCCGAGCGCTTTCGGCTATACCTTTAGCCATTATCAAGGATGGTTCAATTATCAGCTTAGTAGAGTGTGTGTTCTATGTATGTTCAGTGTGTGGTAGTGATATTTTTAGTTTCCGAATACGGTTAGCACATTATGGCTTTGTTTATAGTTGATATTGTTAAGAGTTGGCTTTTTCTTTTTTATTATTAGAGCTTCCATTATTTTTAGTCTTTTTTTGCAAGTGGATGCAGTTAATATATTAGTGTTTTCTACTAGTATGTTCCTAATAGTGTCGGGTAAATCTGAGTGTGTGTTTAAATGTGTTCTGATGGAACTGTGATCAGATAGGTGTAATGTAAGACGTCTGGATAAACATGTGGTTTATCCAGAATCTGCTCTAAGACATATTATAAAGAAATATACTACTCTTATTGATCCGAATAAAAAAATCAAACTTATTATCTATTATAAAAAATTTAAGACGGCCAACCTTATCCTCAAAAATAACAACACACCAACGAAGTCAAAATTACAAAGAGCGAACATTATCTATGAGTTCAAATGCCCTTTAAGGAACTGCGTTCCTCACCAAACCGGACTCATAAATAATTACATCGGCTACACAACCACATGTTTATCCAGACGTCTTACATTACACCTATCTGATCACAGTTCCATCAGAACACATTTAAACACACACTCAGATTTACCCGACATTATTAGGAAACATACTAGTAGAAAACACTAATATATTAACTGCATCCACTTGCAAAAAAAAGACTAAAAATAATGGAAGCTCTAATAATAAAAAAGAAAAAAGCCAACTCTTAACAATATCAACTATGAACAAAGCCATAATGTGCTAACCGTATTCGAAACTAAAACATCACTACCACACACTGAACATACATAGAACACACACTCTACTAAGCTGATAATCGAATCATTCTTGATAATGGCTAAAGGTATAGCCGAAAGCGCTCGGAAACACAGAACATTCGGACAGTTCTTACACACTCTTTTGTCCAGAAAAAGAAAGCTCTTGTCAGAACACAAGAAAAATTAAATAAAAAGCTCAACTGTAGTACCTTGTCTGTCGTTTTAATGAAACATGCATATATATATATATATATATATATATATATATATATATATATATATATATATATATATATATATATATATTATATATATATATATATATATATTTTATATATATATATATATATATATATAAATTTATTTATATATATTTATATATATATATATATATATATATATATATATATATATATATATATATATAGAGAGAGAGAGAGAGAGAGATGGCTAGATAGATAAATGTGACGAAAGAGATGGATGTATAGATGGAAGGATACAGATAGATGAATGATGGACTGATACAGACAGAGTGTGATAGATAGATAGATAGATAGATAGATAGATAGATAGATAGATAGATAGATCCGAAGAGTGAGATAGAAAGACCTGAAGAGTGAGATGGATAAACAGATAACTAGAGTGAGAGAAAGGTAAAATAGATAGGCTGACGCACAGACAACGACGATGTGTACAATGTGATAGATAGATAGATAGATAGATAGATAGATAGATAGATAGATAGATAGATAGATAGATAGGTCTGACGAGTGCAAGATAGACGGATAGATATGAAGTATGAAATAGATAGATAGATAGATAGATAGATAGATAGATAGATAGATAGATAGATATGGATAAAGAAACAAATATATGTATATATAAATAGAGCGAGATTGAGAGAGAAAGGAAGATGATCCCAGCCTTATCTCATGATGTGTGGAGGATTGTCTTCCTTGTTTCCCCTCTTGCAGATTCATTGTGCTGTATTCGACCGTAACTACATTAGGTGATGCCATTATGACGTCAGAAGAGGAGTGAATATTCCTATGATTCGGTTGATCGTCCACTGATCCGGAATCTATGGATCGTCAGGATTAAGCGTTGGCTTAGTGTTTCGACATGGATCAGCATTTCCTGAGGTGACTGACAAAGATTAATTTTTTAATTAAACATTTAAAAAGATTAAAGCTAAATTAACTTTGTTATGTGACGGATAGAGGATTCGTGCTTATTGTATGTTTTGTTCGCAAACTCAGCAGATAATTTTTGTTGTTTCCTCGTTAAATTGAGACCCTTTTTACTTTAGAGTCTGTCTATATCTCTGAGATGAGGTACTATGTACATTATTTACATTATTCGGAGTATTGTCCTCATCTTTGTTGCCATATTTATTACATCGTTTCGGCCGTTGTACGCTCCAGCCTTCTTCAGGTGGTTGGAATGTCGAACTGAACCCTTTATTTCGCTCACTGGAGTAGACTGTTCTAGTTCCACGTGCCATGTTTTGATGGATATCAGTTATCTGTTATCTCCTGTTAATTTTCCCTCTGAAAGTTCTCCACTGCCTTAACCGGGTATCTTGTCACTGGATCTAACCAACGCCTTTATCCACTGTGCCACGTGTCCTTTTTTCTTCACAAAACAAGAACTTGCGAGTCACCCAATGTTCTGCACATCTAGACATGGATCAAAACGGGTTGGTCACCTAGCAGTCACCTACATTGTCCAGCTATGTTATGAAACAGAGTGTCACCCTGATGATTTTCCGACCCTGATGAAGGACCATGATGGTTGGTGTTGATAGATTCATAAATGTCTGAACTCGCTCGACTGAATAATAATAATACAAAGAAACAATCAAGCAACCGACGGCACGAATACACGAGATCTATTTGGAGTGAGGTTTAGACCTAACAGGCATCGGAGGCAAGAAGCCCCTCAGGCTATAATCGCTAACCGGACCCCGGCATATCTGGGCGTCTGCTCGATGATATTGTTTTTTTTCCTCATTAAATCGATATTTTTTCACTTTACCGTTTCTTTTTTGCACAGAAAACCTCCGGACCTTTGCTCTTTAGAACAAGTACAAAGGTACGGTGGATTAATGGATAGCCGCTCGAATTGGGGAATTGGAGAACCGAGTTCGAATTCCAGTCGAATCCATTACGTTCACTTACGTGCTAAGACCCTTGGGAAAGGTATGAATCCTCTTCTCACCACAGTTATGAGTAAATAGGACAGACCGGGTTCTATAGCCTTGGATAGCAACTGGTCTACCGCAGAAAGAAATGGCAACGTACAGCGGGGAAAAAAATCTGCCTCGTCAGTCATGTATCGAAAGATACATGATCGCCTGAGCGTGTATCACGCATGGCACATAACTGACTGACAAAGTAATACCTACGAATATCTTTTTTTTATGTTGAGTGGCAGAAAACTGAATGCGAAAAAATAACTAAAAGCTGGTCAATACATTTTCTTCGTATTTAAAATACACTTAAAATTTGTAGCAAGGATCAGTTTGGTATTTTTCGTTCAGAATCTGTTGTTTTTATAATGTAAAGTCATCGGCACCTGCTAGCATCAGGACATCGGGATCGTCCTCCTCAGAAAAGTGAGGATGGTGGACGCGGCAAGGCGACTCGGGCCCTCCTGAAAGCACATCGTAGATCCTCTTCATGTTGCTTGTTGGACTCGAAAATCTCCGTCCCTACCCCCACCTCGGATGGTCCTTCGTCATGAAGACCGATTTACAGCGACGATTTCTCAAGGTGGGTGTTGGCCTGTTTCAATTTATCCTTGAAGCGACGTTTTGGGTCACCGCGTTGCCTCATTTTGCTGGCGAGTTCTCCAAACTGGATGATACGCGGGAGTTTAGTGGGACGCATTCTGTACACGTGTCCCGCCCGGTGGAGTTGATGTTGAAGGATGCTAGGAGGGATTTCCGAGAGAGGACCTCGTTGTTGGTGTTGCGGTCCTCCGAACTCATGCAAAGGATGTTTCATTTGCTGGAACCGTTCTAGACATTCGATGTCTCGAAGATACAAAGTCCATGCCTCGCAAGCGTACAGAAGAGTGGAGAGGGCCATGGCTCAGAAGGCCATGATTTTGGTATTTATGGTGAGGCCTTGATTGAAGTAGAAAAGCAACCAACCAATCAAACACACATAAAACAATCAACGAAAGCGGACTGCAGTCGAGATTTGAAAGTTTGAAACTCAGGGGACATAGTAAAATCTAATTCAGTCTTAAATAATTGCTGATTTTATTTATAAACTTTATTCATACAAAAATGAAAACAGAAGAATTGCCATTACAATTTACTCAAATACACAAGATGTCCATAAAGTCTATTTACAATTTAAAAAATATCTTATAAATGCAATTGATATGGCACCCACAACTAGATGACCTTTGACCAACCATGATTTTCTAGCAAGATGGTGCACCACCATATTGGAGACTGTATGTTCTTGGTTTCCTAAATCAAACATTTCTAGACAGGTGAATTGGAAGGAATGGCCCAATTTCTTGGCCACCTCGTTCTCCAGATATCACTCGCCTAGACTTCTTTCTATGGCGTTATGTTAAATATATCGTGTATCGATGAGATACGTATCGAAAGATACAGGATATCACTGATCTAACGCAAAAAAGATAACTGATGCCATTGCCACCCCTGTTGAGGATATGCTGCTGCAAACATGACAAGGAATCGAGTACCGTCTTGATATGATTCGTGCAACTAATGGTACCCATAAAGAGGTGGCTTAAATTAGTTAAAAGAAAAAAAAATCTTCAATATCTACTCCTCATTTTGCAACGATTTTTACATATTTGTCTGTTTATTTGTTATTGTAATAATATTTTTTTAATTGTAGAGATTTTATAGACACTTTGGGTTGTCGCTTATCAGGCAGCTCTTCGATACCTTTTGAGTAAAGTTCCACAGGTTTTGATGTGGATTATATTTTGACGAACTCTTGGATCTGTTTTGCATTAGAGAAAGTTTCTGCCCTTACATCAAATCGTTTTGCAGTGATCGTAAAACAAAATAATAATTATCCGTTGATGAAAAGTCACGTAACCAACCGAGTATCTGATTTGATTTATCATAGAAGAAAACATGTTTCTTTCCATCCACTGTGTACGCTGCTACTACGGTCCAATAACTAAGCTATGTGAGTGTAATCCAAATTTATTTTTAATCTGTCACGCATAATTAATAATCTCGATGATTCAACATTAAGAATGATTTCGGTCTTAGTTTACATATGACTGAGGCTACTGACATATTTATTCAGCACTTTAGCAGTTGCGTAATGGTCAAATCACGGACACAACAGAAAACACCGGTTCCCGTTCGAGGTTAAACAGCGTCGAACCCGGTCAGCAATTGGATGGGTGACCGCTTGAGAACACCGAGTACTGTAAGCAACCTCCTACAATCTGAAATGGGTTTCGGCTTTAAATAACCTACGGAGGGTTGATAAGCCGTCAAAAATGCAAAACCATTAGCGGCTGCACCCACGCACACCGGTACGCACAGGCGCACACCTGCGCCAGCTTATTCATACCATATGGATGCGAATACACAAAAGCACGCATATACGCACACAAGCGCACACGCATGTACCCTCCCAACCAAACATGCACACGCACACATGCACACAGAACTACATATGCTCACACCTGCATACGCTTCCACCTGAACACGTAAGCAGTCAATATATATATATATATATATATATATATATATATATATATATATATATATATATATATATATATATATATATATACATTCTGTTGCACTTGTGTTTACGATAAAGCAACTCGCGGGGTAATTGATGTAGTGATGGGGATGTCGGTGGAGGGGGGGGTCGACATCGGTGTGCATAGGACCCACGAATACATTGGATGCTTATATCTTTGAAAATAAACATTGGGGTGGGGGAGGCCGAAACGAAAGCAACAACACGGAAGCCGTGGGAATTTGATTGGACGAAAAATGAAATCCATTTAGGCGTGGATAACTCGGATACACGGCGAAATCATTATTGGCTCGCTCAAGAAGATGCGTGCTCGGCACAGAGACAATTATTCGCTCGGTGACACACGACAATGATAAAATAAATGGAAAATAAGGAAAAACATAGAAACTAGAAAGGAACCGAAAGAAAATTAACATATGCATGATCATAGAACATAAATATAAACAGTTTCCAACTGCCAACAATTAAAGTATTACACCGAAAAGATCTATCTATCTATCTATCTATCTATCTATCTATCTATCTATCTATCTCCTTCTGTTTCTTTCTTTCTTTCTTTCTTTCTTTCTTCCTTTCTTTCTTTCTAACTCTCTCTCTCTATCTATCTATTTCTTTCTTTCTTTCTTTCTTTTTTCTTTCTTTCTTTCTTTTTTTCTTTCTTTCTTTCTATCTATCTCCGTCTGTTTCTTTCTTTTTTTCTCTGTTTCTATCTATCTATCTATCTATCTATCTATCTATCTATCTATCTATCTATCTATCTATCTCGTTCTGTTTCTATCTATCTATCTATCTATCTATCTATCTATCTATCTATCTATCTATCTATCTCCTTCCGTTTCTTTCTTTCTTTCTAACTCTCTCTCTCTCTCTCTCTCTCTCTATCTATCTATCTATCTATCTATCTATCTCTTCTTTCTTTCTTTCTTTCTTTCTTTCTTTCTTTCTTTCTTTCTATCTATCTATCTATCACATGTTTCTTTCTATCTATCTATCTATCTATCTATCTATCTATCTATCTATCTCATTCTGTTTCTATCTAGCTCATTCTATTTCTATCTATCTATCTATCTATCTATCTATCTATCTATCTATCTATCTATCTTATTTGGTCAGATATCTCTCTCCATCTATCTATATTTTACTAATTGGTTTATCTGTCTATTCTCATTTCTTTCTTTCTTTCTTTTTTTCTTTCTTTCTTTCTTTCTTTCTTTCTTTCTTTCTTTCTTTCTTTCTCCTCAGTCTCTTATTAAAGATATTTTCTGCCCATCAGCCTTATCACTTATTATCTATCTCCATTTACATTCTCTCTACACCTTTCCTCTACTTTCTCCTTGCTCTCCCCTCTCTCTCCATATATATATATATATATATATATATAATATTTACAAATAAGTTTCCAAGCCTTAACCAATGGATATATATATATATATATATATATATATATATATATATATATATATATATATATATATATATATATATATCCATTGGTTATATATATATATATATATATATATATATATATATATATATATATATATATATATATATATATATATATTGGTTAAGGTTTGGAAACTTATTTAGCAAATATTATTAAAAAAAAATAAATAAATAAAACATCGACTAAATCCTTAAAAATGACCTATCTTTTTTTATTCCTAGTCAATGACTGTGAACTGACAAATCCCGGCATTGTCATCTATCTTTCAATGCAGCATCTTATACACATGCACTATGCTTATCAACAGTGCATGACTCCTGGAATATATGGTAGTGCACGTCAAGTGACACGTCTGTGTTAAACATAGTCCAATGAAAATCAAGTACGTGATTACGTCACATGAAATCCAGTATATATGCGAATTTTGCGTGTGCAAAATATTTGACAAGTGGACAGCCGAAACGGGCAATGCACAGCTGATCCCAGTATCAATAGAAACAGGGAGTGATAGATTTAATTTTGGGCTTTACTTGGCCGTACCGTGTACTAACGATTTGTTGGAAGGTTGAACTATCACCTTTCGTTCAACCTTTCAATCTCTCACTCACCCAAAAGAAAACAAAATGAGGCCGATAATGTCAAATTAGCGGCTGATGTCAAAAACCGAACTCAGTCTGTTGTTAACTGGAGCAAAGAATGGCTTTAACGCCGCCCAAACTAAACTGATCTGTATTAATCATCTGAGAGAGTTCCCTTTCTGTCTTCCATCAGCATGACTGATGCTAACCTTCAAGGGAGTGATGAGTTGCGCCTTCCTGAAACTAACGTTCTCGGTTGAAGTAGAAAGGGCAATTTCGTTTTGGAGGTGTTAAAATTAACAAGCCATTCCTTGTCTCGGTTAACAACAGATTGGAGGTCATTTTTTAGACCAGCTGCCAATTTGACCTTATCGAACTGATTAGACTTACAAATGACCTACAATCTGTTGTTAACTCGAGCAAAGAATGGCTTGTTAATTTTAACGCCTCTAAAACTAAACAGCTCTCTGTTAATCACCTGAGAGACACCTTCCTGGTTTTCGCCAGCATGACTGATGCTAACCTTCAGAACAGTGACTCGTTGTGCCTTTTTGGGTTAACAATGAATCCATTTCTAGGCCAGCTGTTAAATAAATTGGTTCACTACTTCGAGCTAGACAGCTGCTCTCGCCAGAATCTATCTAACATATGGTCCGGTACACCTGATATATATATATATATATAATAAATCCTAATGAGCCAGATACTACCTACCTACGTTACATCACATGGGATCATCCTGATGGCCTCATGTGGTGAGACCTCGGTAGGTAGTATCTGACTAATTAGGATTTATTTTATTTTACTTTTGCTCTACGTAGTGTATTGAGCACTCTTTTTAACTGCATCAGTTTTTCCATTTGAAAAAGATAAAATAAAAAGCGAACCACGTTCATTTGTAAAAAATGTCCTATTTCTTTGTCCTTATTTAATCATGCACACACAAAAACAAGATACGTATATATATATATATATATATATATATATATATATATATATATATATATATATATATACACACACACACACACACACACAGAGTGCGATTGGTAAATTGTCGCCATTTTTATTTTAATTTCGTGTATGCGCGTTGTTTGATTTTTTTGATTTTTGCCGACTGCACAGTATAATAGGGGCAATTGGGCACCGTCTCTAAGAAAAAAGAGCACCATGACGCAATTGACTCCTCCAGAAATTTGGAAACGGCATGTTTTACTGCTTGGCTTTCGCGACCTTAGCATGGCGACCTTATGTCATAATTCATCTTGCCACAGGGCTCCAGACTCAACACAGTGGGCTACATCAACTGCTTTGAGAAGGTAACATTGCCCTGGGTCGAGAGGGTGGTTGCTGGAAGACACTACATCTGGCAATAGGACTCTGCACCATGTCACAGAAGCTGGAGAGCTCAGTGTCGGTTGTCAGACAATTTCTGCGACCATATCAACCCTTACATCTGGCCACTTAACTACCCAGACTGCAACCCCCTTGGTTATTATGTGTAGGGGCGCAGTTGAGCGAGAGGCCAACAAAACTCCTTGTAGCACCAAATATAAACTGAATGCTAGGATTATGGCTGCATTCACCAACTTAAACAAGAAGACCGTTCAGAAGTGTTGCAACAGATTCTGAAGTTGTCTAGAGGCCGTGGTTGAAGACAATGGCGTTTTTATTGAATAGATTTACTCTTTAGTATTTCAAGATATTTTTCTGTCATTTTGTAAATATATCTGTTGAAATGAGATGTCGGTGTTACTTTCATTTCTGTGTCATTTAGACGACAATTTATCCATTGCACCCTTTATACCTGTTAAAATGAGACGTCAGTGTTTTCATTTTTTTTTGTCATTTAGACGACAATTTATCCATCGCACCCTTCATATCTGTTAAAATGAAACGTCAGTGCTATTTTCATTTCTGCGTCATTTAGACGACAATTTATCCATCGCACCCGTCATATCTGTTAAAATGAGACGTTAGTGTCATTTTCATTTCTGCGCCATTTAGACGACAATTTATCCATCGCACGCTGTGCATACTCCGCTTGGCTCATTCGCGCTGCATTAAAATTCATAGTCACTGAATATTAATTCGATCGGCCTACTTTGCAAATAAGTTCTGAAGCGCCGTTCTGCGAACGAATGCCGATTCCTACCTTTAAAATCGATATGATCTGAACGATTCAGGTGTGATGTCCTTATTTTCGCGATGTTTTGTAAAAGGCAGCATCAAACAAAATCGTTGACACACATTTGGGAAAATCATAAAAGCTGACGAATTTTGCAAACAATCAGAAAAAAAAGATAATAATAAGAAATACAAACATATTTATAATTTAAATCAAATTACGAAATCGTTGTAGATTTCCCGATAACTGAACGAATGCTTTCAAAAATATTGAATTTTTTGGCTTATTTAATATATAACGATTATTAATCCCTGCACAGTGGTATTGTGATTAGTGTCTGGAAATGAGAAATCGGTGTGCCGAGTTCGAATTCTAATCGAGTTTTGTTGCATTCATTTTTGCGCAAATACGCTATGTATGGATTAAATAGAGGGCCACCTATATCAACTGAAGAATGCGGGAGCGTACAACGGTCGAAACGTTATGAATATGGCAATAAAGATGAGGACAACAGTTCGAACGATGCAAACAGTGTAAATTGTTGAAATACCTTATCTCAGAAATATAGACAGTTCCTGAAGAAGACTAAAGCGTACAACTGCTGAAACTTCGTGAATATGGCAATAAAAATGAGAAGAACAGTCCGAACTATCTCAATGGTGTAAATTGTTACAATACCATTTTGTTGCCTACTTTATCGAAGGCCTTTACAGATATTATAGCTAATCTTATGAATTTGATGATCTAAGTCAATTCTAGAACAATGTTGTGTTTTCTCTCCTCTGTGGATTCCCACGCTACTACATAAAACGGTTTCAGCGAAAAGTTTTATTTATTTTTAGTATTCGTTTTATTAAGAGACCTGCTTGGATTCTAAAAGGGAGTAGGAAGAGAACTGACGTGACAGGAACGGATGTTGCACGCTCGATCAGCGTCCCTCCATGGGTGGTATTAACAGGCCGCAAACCGGGATGTGGAAGACATATCGACGCTTCAGAATTCTTGAGACCCTTTGTTTAATTCGCGCCATTTTGGCCTTATATTCAAAACTCAAACAAAGGCAATCCATCACTATCAGAATATCTAGCCCACTAGGCACTCCGGTCACTCGCTAAACATTCCGGCCCTGGATCTTCGGTTGAGTTTTATAATAGGCTCTGCAACCAAAATCTTTTTTAGATTTTATTTTTAGATTTCAAACGCAAAGACGTTCGATAAAGTACGCAATAAATATCTGTTGGAATTGCTCGGCAACCTTGACATATTCGGGAAGTATGTTAGAAAAATCAATCAACTGCTTGTATACACGTAGAAAATGAGTTCAGCGGATATACAAAAATAGAAAGTGGTATAAGACAAGGATGTGTCTTCTCACCGGACTTCTTTAACCTACACAGTGAGGCGATTCTGAGAGAATTGGAAGTCCTACCAGGATTCATTATTCGTAGGCACAATCTTAACAACGTAAGGAACGCAGATGATACAGTCTTGATAGAAGTAAAAGAAAGTAAACTAGAATAAATAAATAAATAAAAATAACTACAGAAGGTTAAGAAAAGCGAACAGAAAGGATTAAACATCAACTGCAAAAAGACAGAATGCATGGTTTTTAGCAAAAGAATGAGCCCAAAATGCAAATTACAAATTGGAGATACCAAAATCAAAAATCTCCTCAAAGATGAAGATATAAATATGGAGTAACAGAAATGGGATTCTAGAGAAGGATGCAAAAATACGATGGATAAAATATGTGAGCAACGACGAGGTTTTGGTGAAAATAGAATCAAAAAAGGAAACTTACACTTAACACCAGCAAGAGATAGTTGAGGTTTCTAGTGTACATAATGAGGAAAGAGAGTTTGGAAAATATGATATTCACACGACATGTTGAAGGCAAGCAAAACCAACCTAGCTAGCGAGCTTGAGTAAATAGATGGCAGAACAGGATTTAAGAAAATGACAACATTATTAGGAGCTACAAAGGACATGAAAATCGTGGAGAGCCATGATCGCCAATGTCCTGATAGGACATATCACACAAAGAAGAATAAGATTCCAAATCACGAGTATATTTTTTCGTTAATGTTT